GGGGGTGAAAACATGAATATCGCAACGCGCAACATAGCTATTGTTGATTGCTTTCGTTCTTCAAAAAAATTTACTCGCAATACCTATCTTCTTTGTTGCCTGTACTGACGATCCTCACGGATCAGTTTCCTTGCGTTGCTTGGTCATTGGTTCTTGACTGTCCCCTTACCTTCTTCTATCCTGAGACTTCTTTTTTTGGTTATAACCCTCATTTGAGCTTGTTGCGAGCCTTTAAGGTCTTAAGAAGCTTGAAAATAATGTTACTGGCGCTACTGGCGCTCCACTTCAAGTCCGCGCCCTAGCGCCAAGTAAGATTGCTCCGTGGAGATTTGTTATATTTTTTTTGTTCTTTTTCTTTCTTTTCTTTTTCACATATGTTTATTTGAGAGTAAATGAGCGCTAGGTTGTTTTGTTGAGAGTCGTGGACAACCTGACGCTTACGAATGATGTTCTTACCGTTCTGTTTCGGAGAAATGTGTAATAAGCTCTTGCGAGTGTGACGGCTTCATTTAATTTTTGAGATTTTTTCTCATTTCTGTTTGTTTCAGAGAGTTAGGAGTCATTGATGCGATAGTTTCAGACGGAAAATTTTCAACTCGTCGTTCCTTCAGATAATTGCAATCACCCCATTAAAACTTTACTTCTCCGCAGACTGGAGAAGTCCACCAATTTGGGGTTGTTTTCCTTGCTGTTGTTAGTGTTGGCCGGTGCATTGGTCGTGCTGCAGCGTTTCATATGGTTTCAGGTAATTTGAATGGGTCAAGATGCACGTGAAATTAGTGTACCTAATTGAAAGTGTAAATATCAGCTGTTTCTGTACTACGTCTGAAACAAGATAGTAAGTGAGACAGTGCTCCTGTTATGTTTTGGGCAGGTGGCGCAGAATCACGCACATGTGGTCACAGGATCGAATCCCGGTTCTTCTTTCTGGAGCAACGAGTTTTCCTTTTATTATAAATCGCGATTGAAGTGTATACAGGAGACCTTCCACGTTTCTCCACGGCTCGTTTTATTTGCATAACATATCTTGGAAGATGAATGTTGTGGGGGTTATATGCTACAAACTGTTGAATATGTTTTTATCTTGTGTCGTGTCCAAGGGATACACAAGTAACTTGCAGTGATGCGATTCCGTCATCTTTGGCGACGGTCCCAATCTCTCTCGTCATCGTCATAATACTGCGGCTGAGTTTTTTTTAGTGCGTTCCTTCGTATGAAAATGTCATGGACTTGGCATGAGCCGTTCACATTCAGTTCCTTTACCGAGACAAGCAGACTATCTCAGTTCTCCCTCTCTCTGATAACTATCTCAGCACTTTCCTCTTGTCCTCGTTTTCGGACTTGTTAAAGAAGGCATTAATATTTTCCATATGTACTTGACAAAAGATATCATGAATGAATGTTCAATCAGAAACTCATGAGCCGTAAAGGGTACAACTTGCGTGAAAGAGCTAGCGCTGCGTCGGATGCTGGGTACGCTCCTCTTTTTTTTACATTAACTCCAGCTTGATAATTTGTAAAACATGCTTTTTAAAAATGTTGCTCTTCACAGATCTGCTGCATTGCATGGCAGGAGAATTACAAGAAGTCTTCGCTCTTCGGTAGCTGGACAGGGAAACCAGGTTGACGGTAATGAAGAAGTCATACTTTTTTGCACATCAACATCTTCTGATTAACACGATGGTACAAAGGTTACTGATTGTTGAGTAACGAGTTACTTACAAAACGTTTTAGATTGAGATGTGAGATAAAGCTTCTAATCCATTTCCTTAGGGATGGTGATCAAAGTTTATAATTGATTTAACCTATGATTCAGGTTTCTAGAAACTTCTTCCGTTTCACGACTTTATTTGTTTCGCGACTATTGCTTTCGAACTTTTGCCTTTTCCCTTTCCTTTCTTTGGTCAGCCATTTCGGTTAGCAAAGGCTAGGTTAAGAACTTCATATTATATAATTGTGATCATGAATAGTTATGTACACTATCCCTTTATGTCCCTTGGTACAAAAATTGGTAATTCAAATCAGGTTGCTGATCTGGTCATGTTCAATTTCTAATTCTAAGATCAAGCTGCACAACAATTTGCTCAAATCATTAATTCCTAATTTTGCGGAACCAATGGCTATGTAAGGCATATGGCGAGATATCTTGACTACGACTAGCGAAGACTGTGTCACAAAATTGTCCGAGTCCACATCGAGCCATCCATCCAAAAAGTGCGAGAGCAAATAGCTCTCGTATTTTTTCGGATTAAATGACTTGATTTGGTCCACAACGATTGGGAACCCAGTTTTCATGGACCTCTCTCTCTTTAGTAAAACTTTTCATGACCTCTTCATTTTTTGTTTGGTCCGTTATGCAAGCCTGTTGTGGTAGTTTTATACAGTGCATGGTTAGCAACAAGCCCGATTTATGTAAGATAATGTGAGATATCTTACACAGTACAATGTACTGTAGTACAGTATAGTACAAGTGTAGCTTACTTGGCTTATTTTAATTTCAGCCTATGTCTTCGAGGGCTACTTCCCGTAGGTTTGTCCTTGTTGGCGTGGCCCTCCCTTTACATTTTGCTAATGACTCTAATAGCACTGCGACAGTACAATTGTTCACAGAGGAGACAGCAGGGCTAGGAATTAACTCATTGAAAAAATAATATCTTATGGGCTGTGTCGTAATGCTTATCTCTAGGGAGTAAAAAACCGAGCTTGTACTCTACAAGGCATCGTAGTAACTGTCTGCGAGAGGAAAAGCTGAGTTGCAGTATGGTTTTGAGATAATGCCTCAGAACAATTCAGTTAGGAAGGATTAAAAAGTGGGGGGGGNGGGGGGGGGGGGGGGGGTTAAGTTTTGATTCATTAGTGTGTGCGTTGAATATGCTACTGGTTCAGAGCTCTTTTTAACAAAGTATCTTTACAATTCTTTCTCGCTTTTCCGTCAATACTCGGGCATGGGCTCCTGGTTTACTCCTCCCATTTTACTTTGTATCCGTGTTCCGGGATCGTATGTGAGGAGCGTACAATGATATTGATGCAAAAGAAAACTGTAATCATGGGTTGGTTTCGCTTTTTAACGATGAATCTACTAATGTAAGTACTCGTTGTTCCTTAACATCATTTTTGAATTGTAATTAGTATGTTTATGATGCAATTCATTTAAGAAATGCATAGCGATGTCACTGGTCGTAATCGTCGAGTAGTGCGTGGTGAGTTTTGAAGCATTGTGCAGTACACAAAAATGTGATATGTTCTTTTCTAACATAAATTAGTATGTATCTATGATTCAGATGCTTGTAATTTTAAGCCGAACGAGCATCACCTTTGCCTGATGTCGAATGGGAGAGCGATGCCATGTTCCGTGGTGTGGCACAAAATCGAAATCGTCTACAGGCGACCGCTACTCCACCGATAGATTTCTCCCTCGAATTCAGCACTGTATGCAATACCACACAGTATAGCACGAGTGTATATTGTGGTTGCTCCAAGTGTTTGGGATTTCTTCGTATTTTAGGTCCATCAGACCGCCATCGCAACCAACCGCTGGCTCATAATAGCATTTGTTCGTGAGAGGCTTGAAGTGATGCCTCCGAGTCTTCCATTGTTGCGTAATCCAACTTTTCAACGAACCTTAGCACGCCACAGTTACGTTACTGAGGTAGTGTTATCTAGTAAAACGCATCTTTGCTTTGTTTTTATAACAGTTTTCAGCTCAACGCCAATAAGCTAGAAGGCCTGCGCATGGCTAACAATTATGACGTTGAAGAATTCCCTTCAATGGTTGTTCTTGACCCACGCGATTTGTCGGAGGTTTATAGATTCGATAGAGGAATATTGGCAAACATAGATGTATTCTTCAATGAACGTGAGTAGTTTTCATTCCATTGCATAAAAACAGTAAATGATACGTCTCTCTTGAAAACTTTGGAAATTTGGAATACTCTGTCACAGTCCGACGGGTGGAGGGGATGATTCATATCCTGTTGGGTTTTTAGGTTGATTTGTGCAGTATTTCGCTAACATTCCCAATTATTCGTAGTTGTAACCAGTACCTTGCAACTGGTAAAGAAAAGAGGCGTTAGAAAAAAGGGATGTCTCCGTTACGGCTGGGAAAACACTGAGATTAGTGTGTGCAGTGCCAAAATTCATTGAAAGTTGAGCTTGGCTATTACTGACTTACTAATAGTTTCAATTTACCCAAAACGTAACACTTTTTCACTTTGATAGTAGGCCCTGGGGCGGAAATTAGTAGACCACATTTATCCGCTATGATTTCATTTTAGTCAAGTTTCGATGCTTGAACTGTTCTCCTTGTTTCTTTACGTCTATCATTGTTTACATTAAGTTAACCATTTCTTCACTGCCTATCCCACCTACGAAACGAGGGATGATGCCGTTCGCGCCAGAGCTGTATGTTTCATTCCAGTTTCTCTATTTCCATTACAAGCAGAAGTGTTTGAGATGTTGCTCTTTGCGCCAGAACTCTCATTTCCCTACTGAAGAACGTTTAGAGAAGAGATTCCAACCATTCGCCTCGTGATGCGGCCGGGCTAAGCAGCTTTGCACGTAAACGCCAGAGTACCGCTTTCCTGAATCGCTCACCTAAGAGGGGCAAGCGTGATGGTATTGGTTTGTTGGATTGTTTCGATATATTTCCATTCCTTCTGAAAATTTTTGGTTCTGTCAGACAAAGATGAAACTCTTCTTGCAAATGAGGCGGGCGCCATGAGCATGGTGGATAAAGATGATTGGAAAAATATGGTAAGTAACAAAAAGTAAAGGATAGTTATTGTCATTTTGGCCTGACAAAATTTTTCTTGTATAAAGTCAACTGAAACTGTCGCAGTATAACTTCATGAAGGAAGAACTGAGAAATTCTGAAAGTTCGTGTTATTAGTAGGTGGAATGTTTTAAAGTCTTTTATTTACATGATATTACGGTTACCCTAAAAGTGCCGAAGCTGTTAATTTTTACTAATTTATTTCAGTTTCCTTTGCTATTATATTTTTTGGGATCTTATAGTTAGCTGCTATGGTTTTGCATATTAAAACCATTCCTTTCCTACACAATTTTGGCAACCCCTTGCTTCGATTGACCCTTGAAGCGTGCACTTCGTTTGCCCATTTTTGTCCTGTCAGTGTTCTACTCTCAAATATCCTCTACAGCTACTTACTCCCCCTTTCTTTACTTGCCTTCTGTGTTATGACATCTATCTTTGATTTTTTATGAGTAGCACGTTCTAATGTCTTTTCCTGCTGTCGCTGATGCTGATTCTGCCCATCTTTTTCACTATATATCACTTTCTCTTCTCGATTCTGCATCTTCACTGAATCCTGATTTCCTCATACCTTATTATAGCAGGAGTGCTCTGCAACTTTTAACGTTGCAGTTGTTGTTTAGGAGCTTCACTAGGCTACCGATTGAGATGCAGTCAAAGAAATTTTAATAGCGCTTCCGCCGCCATCTCAATTTTATTTTTCAGATAGCGCCAAACGGTGTTCCATGTGTTCTACGTCTTCGTTTTCCCAACGACCTTGGGAGCCGTACTGAAACAATTGAAGTCAATCTTAATACGAAATTGGCTGTAAGTGTCTCATGTTAACTTTTCGTGGAGTTACACCGAGATACCTTATTTAGGCTGTCTTTGCGTTTATTCACGCTCAAGGTTTTTCTCCTTCGCGCCACATGTTTGTGTTGTCGTTTCCGCGTCGTCAGCTCACGATCAAGCATAAAAACAGGACGCTCGAAGAACTTGGTTTTACTAAGTCGGAGATGATCCATGTCGAAGAAATTTTTGCCGACGGCGCCGCGGAAAGCGCACCTTTCAAAGGCCCTAATGCCTAATACCTTTAATTTTATTGTCGAGTCAACTTCCCATTTGTGATTTGCTTTTTTCAATTGTGATTTGCCTTAAAACGTGTGTCTTTTTCATATCTTTCAGATACTGGTTCAACCATTTACCTCCCCATCCTTTAGTTCAGCCACTGCCGGTGTATGTTTTTGCGGGTGATCCTAGGAATGATCTGAGTTTCCTTTAGGCGTCAATTTTTCCAGGTCATAGTGAACGATCGGAGGCATTTTATACCTCAATTTGATAACCGCAAGTATTTCATGAGATGTGGCTTTAATAAAATATGTTTTCTCGAAATAGCTCATTTTGACGTTATTTCATGGCAGTTGAATCGCACTGCTAACACCATGCTCTTCTATTTTCTGCTTAAAAAATGAGGAGTGAGTAGCAGCCCAATATCGTGTAGTACTTATCGAAAATTTTCGAAAAAACTGGTTGCCATTATCTATCGCTGTGTTTACATCTATATTCCAATATATCTCTTAAATTTTTTTAGAGCTGGAACATTGTAAGACCAGTTTTGAGGTTTACTTTTCAAGCTGTAAATCCGAAATTGTCCCAATATTTGTTAGGCTATAGCTGCTACTGACGTTTTACCTTCACCTTTCTCGGAGTCTGAAAAGACGTATGCTGTTTGAAGTACCATTCGCTCGAGCACCATTTCAATCTAAAGGGAAAGTTCAATGGGCGTGGACTACGAATTCAGAAGTTATTCACTAACCTTTGGGATAGTCGACCTTTGCGGTCCACCGATCTCCCCAAACTAATATGACTGCGGTTAAAATAGTGTGAGCCACAGGTCAACTTCCTTCAGGGACCTTCAAAGGGCTGATCACGTAGATCAAGCCTACTCAAGAGCCACAAAGGCCGAGCGCGCAACTGACCCTTCCCAATGAACTCCTGTCGATTGCTTTGTAAGCCCCCTGACCCCGTTCCACCGAGAGGACCTCCCGAGGAATCTATAGCGTAGGTCAAAAGTTGCATAGTGCTGCAGAGGGCGCCAGCTCTGCAGTAGATGCCACGCACTCATCCCTCCGAATGACCCGTTTCTCCCTCCAACCTAGCATCACGAAATTTCATTAGCAGCGCGTTGGTGTCGGGAGTGAGCAGGGAAGAACTTGAAAAGCTACACAAGTATTAAATTTAGGAACCATGAAATTCCATCCGTTGAGCCACCGACATTACTAACAATATGTCAAATCTTGAAGTAAGACTGGTCATTCGGAGGGAAGAGTGCGTGGCCGTTTCCGCAGAGCTGGCACTCTGCAGCACTATGCTGCTTTTGTCCTACGCTGTCGATTCTCCGGGAAGTGCTCTCGGCGGGGTGGGGTGGGGGGTTGAACAGTAATCGACAGGAAATGATTGGGAAGGAGTTAGCGGCGCGCTCGGCCTTGGCTGGTTTTTAAGGAGGCTTAATCTACATGATCAGTCCCTTGGAGACCACTGAAGCAAGTTGACCTGAGGCTCACCCTATTCTAACCGCAGTCATATTAGTTCGGGAGATTGATGGATCACAAAGGTCGACTATCAAAGGGCAGAGGTTAGTCAACAACTTCTGACTCCGTAGTCCATGCCCTATGAACTCCTGTGGGATTGAAATAGTGCTTGAACAGATGGTTTCTCAAATGGATTTCGTATTTCCATGCTCCGAGGAAGGTGAGGCCACCGAAAGTCAGTAGCAGCTAGCCTAATAAAGTATTGTTACAATCTCGGTTTTGCAGCTTAAAAGTAAACCTCAAAACTGAATGGAGCATGCCGAGATTTATAGACAGTTGCACTTGGACATTGCAAGATCAAGGGGAGCAAAGTGAACATCGAAGTGAATCACACAACCATTTACCATTACCATTTATTACATGCCAAACACGTATACAGCATGTAAAAATAAAACAACAATCAACAATAAACCAAAACACAAATTAAAACGAACCTTATATAGAACATGGTGAACTACATAACGAAAATTATTCCTTATTAGTTGGTGCGATGGAGATAATGAAATACCGCTTTCCTAAAGCTAGCAATTTTAGAAGAAATTCGCACAGTCTTACTCATTTTCAAGAACTCTGCCCGCACGAACCGTGGAGAACCTGCGCCCTACTGCCGAACGTGGTTTTCGGAAAGAAAGCCTAAGTCTTCCCCTCTCGTAGTAGAAGGCATTAGTTTATAGAAGGCGTCACTACCGAGATCAACACGTTTATGAAGAATATTATATACCATAAGAATGTCGTTCCTCCTCTCCTCAGCCTTAAGGATAACGGATCCAAATTAAGTAACCTGTTCCGAATGAGGCCACGGGGTATGCTGGAATAATTAAAACCTAAGGTTCCGATAAATAGTCTCCTAGAAAAGCCATTCTGCACCTGTTGTAGTTTGCTCAAGCACTTTTTCGTGTGTGGGTAATAAATACAGGTACCGTACTCGAGAACTGAACGCACATAAATTTTATATGTTTTGAGAAGTAGTGTCGGGTCCCTAGATTTGAACGTCTTGAACAGCAAAAATACTCTCTGGTCGACTTTTGCTATATTTTCTTTAGGTGGTGCTCGAAACGCAATTTAGAATCGATAACAAAGCCAAGATCTCTAACCATGTCAGCTGCGTCGACAAAAGAGTCCTTAACATGGTATTGTATTTTGGGGTTACTCCGGCCAAGATGGAGGACTTTAGTTTTGTGCGCAGACAAAGGGGGGAGATTGACTTCATACCATTGAGAAATGGCATCTGTCGCTAGCTGAAGCTGAGTAGCGCTATTACCAACGCCTCTATATATCTTCAAATCGTCAGCGAACTTTTTCACTTTGACATCGAAACGCTTTATCAAGTAAGGCAGATCGAAGGCGAAAATATTGTATAAAATAGGAAACAGGACGCTTTCTTAGGGTACTCCGCTGGGTGCTCTTCTGACTTTGGAAAAAGTTCCATTAACCACTACATGAAAAGTGCGGTATTTGAGAAAAGCCTCGATCCATTTAATAATCTTAGCGTGGACACCCACTTGAGCAAGCTTGTGTAACAGCGCGGTACGGATCACTCTGTCGAAGGCTCTTTCGAAATTAAAGTATATAGCATCCAGACCATTCTTACTATCCAATTCTGAAGACAAGTCATTGAGAGACTACAACATTGCAGTGACTGTGGACCTTCTTTCTCTAAATCCATGTTGATGGGGCGAAAAAATGTGATTGCTTTCTAAATGACTCACCAAAGCTTTTTTAACAAGCTTCTCAAAAAGTTTACAGAGTACAGAAGTAATGGAGATAGGCCTATAATTACTAGGATCAGAATAGGGAAGCCGTTCCCTGATTGGGATTGCATAAGCATGCCGCCAGGTTTGCGGGACAACTGGCTGAAAGAACATCAAATTGAAAAGATACTCGAAAGGGGATGAGATCTTGGAGGCGACATTTTTGATGAATATAAATGGAATTCCGTCAGTTTATCTTTATCCAAATCCGAAGCTGTTATAGCACCTTGTCAGCTTTCCTGAGAGCGGTCACTTCTTCTTCCCTATTGATACGCAAATTGATAAATTTGTACAAAGTAGCCTTACTTTTGGATTCTATGACTTTTTTCTCAACGGAAATATTGTATTTCAAAAGCTTTTTCTCGAACCCTTACAAAATCCTTT